ACTTACTGTTGAGTGAGGTATGGAGAGGAAAAAACTTAATATTTTCTTTTCTTTCAGAATATATGAAGAAGGAAGGGAAGGTAGGCTTGAAAATCCATATCTCTTTGAGGTAAATATAGATATATACAGCCATGTAACTTGAGTCTATACGTTTAAAACACGCAGCTATCGACCAACAGCTGAGGTATGTGCGAGAACAGCACAGGAGAGGGAAAATTTACCTCAGCGAGACCCCTTCAGCGCTGCCCCTGCCTCAGGAGGGAGCAGGAGACCCTCCCGGGGCAGCGCCAGCCTTCCCCTCCCCGCTCATTTATTTCAGCTTTTCACCTGATTTTTTTACACCCGTTAACAATTAACCTGTTTAAAATGGGTGTAATGAGCGAGCACACGTGAGAGTATTACGGGGTGGAGGTCGTGCAGGTGTGGAAGGTGGGTGGGTGCGGCTGCTGGGGGGAGGTGAAACAGCTGCTGCCCTCGGGCTGTATTTTCATGCTTCAAAGTTTTAGGTTCTGATGATGTGCCTTTTGTCTGAGTGCTGTTACGGGGAATCTGTATGAAAACAGCAATTACTTCTAACGGTTTTTGGAGCATAGGAATGGCTGGAAAATCTGTACTGCTGTTTAGTTTGATTAATCTTGAGATTTATACGAGTTTGATAATAGCTTGAAAATAAAATCAGGTGATTATTTAAATATACAGCAATGTGAAAGATTAGATGTGAAGAATCAAGCATTGCTTTTCTGTGTGTATGGAAAAGCCCAAGTAAAGATTCATATTCCTTCATTCATGAAAACAGGTTTGGTGTATTTAGTGTGTCCAGACAGTGTTTAGAGCCCTCATGAGACCTTCAGAGAAGTGATCAATTGATATTTAATGTTACTTTAAATGGGTATTCTCTGTCTCAAAGGTATCTGGTGACTGCAGTTGCTACTTGACAACAACGATCCCTCATATCTCAGGTTATCTGAAGCTTTGTTCATTGAACCAACTTCAGTTTCCCATAGAATCAACTGGTTAGAGATTAATTTTTCTGTGTTGGTTAGTTGAAAGTTGTTGCATTTTCACACTTGATTTGATTCGACCTGTGGCACGTAGTGACTGTTCTCCTAAAGTAAGAAAGCCTTAGATTCATGAGTAGTTCCAATAGGATTAGAAAATAGTTTGTAGAATTGGTTAATTTTGCAATTTTGGGTATAAAAAATTGCTGAAATGCAGTATTTGTGTGTAGTATATTAAAAAGTTAATTTTTTTTAATTTTTTTTTACCAGACTGATGTAGAGATCTGTTTGATTGATGGCAGCTGCAAAAGTCCCATTGAAAGATTTTGGAATGGAAACAACCTGATATATATTTTGCAGAAAGCAGTAAGTGTGCATGTTATTTATTAATTTTTTACATGTAATTTAGACTTTTGAATTCACATCAAATATTTTCACAAACCTTGCATTTTTTTACTTATGTATGCATTTCTCTTGAAGAGACACAATGAAGAAAGTGACCCAATGGAAGAATCAAAAACAGGTGATGTTATTTATGCCTCTGAGCTTTTACCAAAGGAGAGGTCTGGACCACTGGCTCTTTCTGTCAAAAGAGCAAAGTAAGTGTCAAAGGTCTGCCTCCCCTTTTGATGTAATTTCCTTTTGCAGCTTTTGTCTCTCTTCCTAATATTCAGAATCTGTATTATTTTCAGTCCCCCTAAATTAAATTACTCATTAGTTTAGTGAGGAGATACGACCATTTTCCATCCTGCAAAATGGCCTCCCGTGGCTAAAAGTGTTCCTAACAAAGTAGCTAAGGTCAAGGCACTGGAAAAGCACTTGTGAGCTGTCCCATTAGGATTTTAGAATCTTTAGTCTAAGTTAAAATATCTTACTTCCTCCTTGTGACTTATTTGTTTATCTGTAAAAAGAGGTTTGTAGTACTGCATTCTTTTTGTTTAACTATTTGGTGTCTGCTACCAAAGTGTGGTAGATATTAGTTAAGTTTTAGGTAAGGGATAGATTTAGCTATACTTGCTGATATTTTTTTTTTTCTGTTCCTGTATCTAGGCAGTTGATTTCCTTATATACAATGGTTCAAAATCCAAACATGACGCACTTGAAGATAAGTGAACCAGTTGTGCTTCCTCCCCTCTGGATAAGGTGTGACGGTTCCGATCCTGAGCATACTTGTTGGTTTGGAGCTGAGCCTCTCAAGGCCGGAAGCAAAATCACAGGGATCAATTTTTATATGGTTACATGTGATGGTAAGGTTACGATCTTACACGTAAAATTGAATGAGCGCGGATTAAAAATATGGGAATATTGATGTTACAGTGCTGTATTTGTTCTTTATGTGATGTTAGCTTGGTACTGCTCTGTATTCCTCATATTAAAAACCAAGAAAAAAACAAAAAACAAAAAAAAAGATAGAAAAGATGTTTTTAACCCATGCCAGCCACATGGGGGAAATAACTTTTTAATATCCTTAATGCAGCAGTATCTGTGCAGGCCTGCCTTCACTCAGTTGCAGTAATTTAGCATATTGGAATTGCTACCATCCAACTTCTCTACAAGTTATAAATGTTAGTAAATGTTACTTATAAATGTTACTTGTATGTGATGCTAAACATTTATATGTTAACACCAGCTCTTATCAATAGGGCAAATGGAAGAAGAATGCCTGCTTTCTAAAGGGCAACATGAGTTCTGCTTGAGCAAATAGAGTATTTGAGAATTAATTTTAAGTGCCAAATTTGAACTGTGTTAAATGTTGGTTTGATTCTAACTTTTTCCCTTTCCTAGGTCCTACAGCTGATAAAACCTGTTTTGCAAACCTGGAAGAGCTCAAAATGGCACATAAAGTGAAGCATCGTTCATCTGTGGTGGGTTTTTACAATCTGTCATCCCTCCAGTCTAAGTCTAAAGACTCTGATTTTGGATTTGTGATACTGCTTTTGGGAAGCTTTATAGATTCTGTTTAGAATCTCATCATAATAGTCTCTTTTGAAGTAATGTTTGAGCTCCCTATGTTGTAATGCATTTGTCTGATACTAGACCTACTTGTTGGTGTGTGAAATGCCTTTAGGAATATTTTATGTGGGTAAAAAACAATTTATGTTGTGGTGGTGTTTTTTATTTCTTTTTAAATCTGTTCGTTCTAGGTGATGACAAAAGGATTTGCTCAGTATGAACTTATTCGAGCTGCTGCAATAGAGGACACAATTGTAGAATCTGAAAGCAATATATATGTTGATATTACATGGAATACAGTAGATAAGATTCTGGAGACACCCCCACTAGTTTCAGCTGCCACACTGGTAAGTCAGGAAGGAAAAAGAAAACAAACCCAAACTCTTTCTACTGCTTTACATAGTGAGTAGTGTAAAGGAGAGAAAATAAGTTTGTCTCTTGATATTTGTGTTTATTATTCTTTATATAAGCAGTGGGTTCATAATCTAAATTGTAAATTATGCTAATATGCATTTTACTAATAAAAATTTTAGGACACTTGATTTCTAAAGTTTGAAACTGACATAAGTTTCTGGAACTTTCAGAATATTGCCTTGGAGTCTGGAGACCCCAGAAGTCCTGTATATCAGCTATATAGAGAACTGCAGTTTCTCCTGGTGAGTATGAGTGAGAAATTCCAATTTCGGACTTACAGGGAATGATGATTTTATGTGTTAATAATTTACTTTATTTAGAACTTCCTCAGGTGTTTCAAATAAACCTTTTAATCTTTTGTTTTATTCTAAACTTTGAGTTCAGTTTTAGGAATCTTGAATACAAAGGACAAATCATGAACACGGAAACCAGGAAATTCAAGAAGTTTCTAAATTCATGGTTAGCTGTGCAGAGAGATGTATGATTCTTGGAGAAGTTAACTATGATTTTAAGTATGGCACATGCAGAACCTCAAACAAGAACTGATTTGTGTTGTTTTGGTTTTGATGCTGCCTTTAGGCTTTGGCTGAAGGTTTGAAGACCGGTGTGACGGAGTGGCCCGAGCCCTTAGGCTCTGAATCAGCTGTGGAACTGGTCCAGGAGTTTCTGACTGGTAATTGCTGCTTGTTACATGAGGAGAGAAAGATGTCATATTTCACAGAAATAAAAGGGAATTCCACATACAATTTTTAAAGTATTAGAGGTGTTTATTTCTGTGCTATAACCACCGGCACAAAGTAGTTAAATAGTCAGTACATCTCTGTCATTTTCCTTTGGTGTAATATCTTTTATAAACGTGATAATTGTTTCTTTATAAAATGACACAATTATGTTTAAAAAGCAATTGAGAGAGTTCTGGATGTTTCTTTCGAGTTATCTGACATCCACGTGAACTTCTGAACCTGTGAAGTGTCCCTTTGGTGGTGGAAAACAGTAATTAATGACATCTTAAAATGAAACATCCAAAATTACTGATTCTTTCAGTATTCCTTATGAACAATGTGTCATACCAGAAGTGTAGGATATTAGGAAACAAATCTAAAAAGAGAATCAGAGGTAGGAATGCGCCAAGAGATTTTCAAATGCAACTGTACATTTTTTTTTAGTATGTAGGGGATGTATGTAACTTGAGGAAACAGACAAAAACTCTTTCTGACAAACACAGGTGGAGGAAAACCAGAGACACTTACTAAATCACCTGCTACCTCTTACTGCTTCATCACTGAAACTTACTAAGTTAATGCTTAAATAACAGAATGTAGTAAAGGTATATGGGGAAAATTTATATCTTATTAAAAAAAAATAAGAAACTATTTTTTCAGACTATACACTTACTCAGTAAAAGCAATTTTTAAAAGGACATTTTGTCTATTAGCCATTTAGCCAGTGTATTTGTTGATTATGGTGTGCCCGGGGATTTATACAACTGGTTTGATTTTTTTTTTTCATTGTGGTGAAATTTATTTTTCTCCTCTACTAGATTTAAAGAAGAAAATGGATGGATATTGTATATCTGCAAACAGTAATGAAGCAGAGGTATATGCAATTTCCTCCCAATTGCCTTGTTATCTTGTTTCCCTTATAACTGTAGTTATTTCAAATTTTGACCAGGTCTTATATGTTATTTATGTGTATATGTAAATACATAGACATAAAGATATAAAGAAAGATTGATCTCTTTCTGTTTCTGCTTTGTAAAAACAATAGAAGAGGGTCTTACAGGCAAAATTAGGAATTCCGTAGCTATCCTCTAATAATAATACCTTCAGAAAACCTCTCTCTGAAGAGAATTAATCTCACTTTTAAATAAAAATATGCTTCCAAATTACTGTGCACTAGTAGTTTCTATGTAGTAGTTCCCCTGGAAAAGAGGAAAAATTAGTGACGCACCCACATTTGATCTCTGGAGAAAATTTGAATTTGTAAGGGCTTTGGATCTAAGGCATCCTTTTTTAATTAAACTCTTTCAGAAAATCAAATGTGACACAACTGCAGTGGACAGCTCAATAAAATCCATCTTCACTGAGCGAGGAGACCTGGATTTTGCTGAACAATTATGGTGCAAAATGAGAAGTAAGTGTATTGTGTGGTTTTTGCCCCATCTGTTTTCGTGTATTGCTCTGTATCCTCTGAGTTTTAAGGACTGATAAGCTCTTCAGAAAAAAAGAGCTAGTTTTAGGTATGTAAGATGATACACTTTTTTACAACATGTGAAGGTAGACCAACATCTTGCAGGAGATATTATATTTTGTTTTATTTGATTGTAAAAGTACTAAACAATCGGTAGTGCTCATCTGCTTTAAAAGTGAAAACTTTATTAAAAAATCTGTCTTTCTGGATCTGAAGGACAATTTTTAAGTTAATAAAGCTACACAAACTTTATGATTCATGTAATACTGCTCACAGTCCTTTAGTAAAATACATTTTTATTTATTTATTAGTATTTTTTCAGATTACTAATTAACTTTTGTTAAGTTCTTCCAGAGATTATAACAATCCCTTTCTGTTTGAGGGATGGAGTTATGCAATTTTAAATCCCTTCCATTCCTATTAGTGCAACCACTGTTGTGTGTGCATCAAAACTAGATAGCTAGAATGTGTTGTGATGGCTGCAATCTGTCCTCCTTAAGGGCAGTGTCAGCTACGCAATGCGTGGAGGCTTGTTTTGTGCTTAGGAAGCGGTTAGTTGGATGGATAGTGATAGTTCATATTCTAGATAGGTGCTGTTCAGTTACATTTATAAAATGTGTTGAGCTTCGATGTATGTAGAGAGAACGTAGCCAAAATGTGGTATATGACAATTTGCTTCCGCCGCGTGCTGTTGTGACAGTCGTATGCAGCTCAGTGGTCTCTTTTGAGCATTCTTTATTTAGAGTAACCCTTTTTAAAGTCGTGATATGACAAACTTAACAAAAAGCAGTGTTATCTGTCATTTCAGCTATTGTTCTTTAAATGAGGGGTTTTCTTCTGGCAAGTATGTCTTGGCCTGTTGTTATTGACTGAACAGCTAGAGAAAGCCTGGACTGATGAATAAAATATTGCATCTTTTTTTCTTAAGGTGTCAGTTCCTATCAGAAGTTGGTGAAGTGTTTCACACTGATCATAAAATCCCTGGAACATGGTGAAATACAGCCGTGGGTATGTATTTGTATTTCACAATACATGTTAAAATATTGAGGTTTTTTGAAGTGGAATATAGTTGTTGTCACTTAAATGCCCTTAATTTCTGTGTTGTATTGTTTTAAAATTACTTTCATATGTCCATTTGCCTCTGTTTCCATGGTGGTGTACTTCTAAACAATGTTTGTGATGTTCTGTATGCATTTACATCACTAAGAAAACTTTTTTCTAATTTTTAGATTCATCAGGGGAGCAGCAGTTTGCTAAGTAAATTGATTCAACAGTCTTATCATGGAAAGATAGAGGTTGTTTCCCTCAGTGGCATCACTCCCATTCAAATGCTCTTGGAGATTGGTTTGGACAAGATGAAGAAGGATTATGTCAGTTTTTTCATAGGTAAGCCTGATATCTGTTAATATGATTAGAAATTGAAGAGAAAAGGTATTCCATACAGGAAATAATTACATTTTTGGTAGCCTTGATCTCACTTCTCCTCCCACCTGCTGATGTTCTGTCTTCAGCCTCCTTACAATTGTATTTTTCAGTTGTATATAGTTTCACAATGTAAAAAAATTAATTTGTTTCAAAATAATTGTAGCTTGCATAACAATGTGTTTCTTTTTCAGATTGAAAAAACCTTGAAGTTGAACTTCAAGTAAAATAAATACCAGATTTATGTAACTGTGGACTGTTTTGGTTTTTTATCTGTTTGCTGTAGGTGAAAAAATATGACCTTCATGCTCTTTCTGTCTTTTCCTTTATGGTCTGCAAGGGTTAAAAGGAAATCAGGCCAGGGTGTTTATATGTAACAGCTGTGTTTGTACAGTCCCTAGTATTTAGATATTTTTGTTTATTCTTTTATATATATATTTTATACTGGAAACAAAAGCTAGGGTGGAATGATTTTTGTAAAGTACATTTTTTTTTTTAAAGCATTCTGGTTTTGTTTTCAGTATTAACGCTTTATTTTTTTCTGAATCTGTTGGAGGGGTTTGTGTTTTACCATTGTCATTGCTTCCTTTTCCTTACTCTCTTCATTTCTTTTTTATCTTATTTTCATTCTATGTTTCGTTTGCTTTTTTAATTTTACTGTTTGTAAATCTACATGTCCCAATGTGAGTGATTGTCTCAATATTGTAGGTTTCTTTTTTTCTCTTCTTATTGTGCTGCCTTGGTGGTAAATAAAGTAATACCTCTACCATGCCACTTTACAGTTTCTTTCTTGTTTTGAAGGAGTAACCATGTCAACAAATAACATCACATGTTGCTTGTATTTCATCTGACACTAAGTGGTAAATTTTTATTTTTTTTTCCCCTCCCTGTTAATTTTACAGGCCAGGAACTTGCAACATTAACCTACTTGGTGAGATGCTTTTTTTTGTTTGGTTTTTTTGTTACTCTGAAAGCAGTATAAGTTAGAGCACACTTAGCTGATGGTGGGATGCAAGTTGTATCATTCCTATAAGCTGAGAAACTGAATTGCAAATCACAAGGATGGAACAATATACTGCAGAAATGTCATTATCTTGTTTCCTTATTCATATATTAGTTCCTTGGTATCTGATGTGGGTCATAGTCAGGCAGGACAGTTCTGACTCTGCTGGGCCATTCTTAAAATTTTGGCTTCTCAAAAGAAGTAGGAAATTATTTTAGTATACTGAGGATGTAGTGTATGTAGAAATTGAGTGTCCAGTTAAGAGCAGGAGCTGTTTGCTGTTCCAGGATTACTTCATTTCCACATCAGTAGATCTACAAGAGCAAGTTCATCGTGTTCAAAAGCTTCACCATATGCTGGAAATAATGGTCAGCTGTACAGTCTTACTTCAGTTTAAACATGAGAACCTCTTCCCTTTAACACAGTAATTATTTCTTTTTTACTTCTTGCTCTTTAAATGACTATAACAAATAGATACGCTTTGATAATTGTAAAGAAACTCTCTTAAAAAACAAAAGCAGTCCTCCTTAATGATGATAATGAGACTGCAGAAGTAGCAGTTGGATCTTCCTGCGAAGTTTTACTTTGTGACTGAAATTGAAAATCAAAGGAAATCATAAAATCTGAGAGAATAGTTAATTTTGCACCAGGTTTATGCAGTGCTGCACAAGCATTTCTGCAAAGAAAGTTAGTAACTAGTTGATATCTATTGTAGAATTTGCATGAAGTATTATAAGGAAAACCCTCTAAATGAGAAGCATGTGTTCCAGCTGCCGATCAGACCAGCTCTTGTCAAGAAGTTCTATCAAAAGTAAGAGAAACTTCAATGTTTGCAGCATTAAGGTTCAGATTTGACTGAACACCTGACTGAATTTTGACATTTTTTGATTCTTCTCTCAGTAATCACCCAGAAATATGGAAGGTGGACATAAGTAGTGGGCATGGGCCAAAGGAGGTTAAAACAACATGGCAAGTTAGTACTAACCCTCCAGTTGAACACATAACATCCAACAATCCAGGTAAGGAGTAATTGTGGCAAAATGAAATAATGACAGTACACACTTCAAACAAATTCAATTTTTATACCGGGTTCAATGGATTTGAAGTTTTTATTAATTATACTTACTTTTCAGCAAAAGTGAAACAATATTTTGTCTTTTAATAAAGGGATGTGGTGGTATTTATAGAATGTAAAAGATTTTCAGAAAGTGGTGACATTCTGCCTTCTCACCTTTGAGTTACGTTTTTAGAGTTAAAGTGACAAGAGAGTCGCATGACATGATTAAGTATTCTCCACAAAAGCTTATCACTTATTTCTGAAGTCTTTGCCAGCGTAGCTGAGAATGGGTTTGAAGAGAAATTTACCTGTTACTGAAGGCTGGTCTCTAGACAGAGAAGCAAGCAGGTGCTAAGGAGAGGAGGCATGCCTCGCTGCGATCAAATGTAGAACAAGTGAAAAAGCATGAGAAGGGGGAAGAATTAAGTGTATAGACTGGCGTAGAAATTATTTGGGAGTGAGGTTTGATATAGGGTAGTGCTTTGGTATAGCTTTCCTGTTCTCTGTTTTTGTCATGAAGTGTTCCTTTCAGTAAAACTGAAGTTTTGAACCCACTTCTTGAACTTAGTGAATGAACTGATCTCTGCAATTTCTCTTCTTAAGAATAGCGGCTAATTGCATCTTTTTCTTTTGTCTCTGCAGGTCTCCTCTCCGATTCCACAGTTAATGGAAGCGGTGAAGAAAGAACGTATTTCATTACAATGGCTAAGTGCAGTCAGGTGCATTTCACATAAATGCATGTTACTCTGCAGGCAGGCACTTGAAAGGTACAGTAAAGGGGAAAGTTCAGTATTATCCGTGTCCCAACAGTATATTTAGAAACACTCTGATTTGAAGAACAGTACATCTTACCAAGTTATTCGCTTTAGTATGCTTGAAGCGTGACATACACAGCCATAATTTGTCTGTACCCGTCTGTTTATAAATGTTGTGCAATTATGAATGTACAGTATAATTATTTTGAAAATATAGTAGATATTTTTGTTCATATATTTACAAGCATTCAATAAAGTTCTGCACTTTGGGGTTTTAAATTTTATTTTAATTCGTTAAGAATGCAATCAGACGCTGTTCAAAGTGTGAATTATCTTAACCCAACAAAACAGGCAATATTGTCATGTCTTCCTGCTGTCAGGTGACACTTCATCCAGATTTCTTTGGAAAGGTGTTCATCCAGGGCATTGTGAGCTTCTGGTAGTTTGATTTTCTTTGTCCTTGCATTTATACTTTGGAGTGTTCTTGGATATACTTCTCTCTCCTTTTCAAATTCATTTTTTTCCCTCAATGCAAAGTGAATTATTTTACCAGTGTTGTCTTGTATACTTTTGCATAATTTTCTGAAAAAAATTTTCAGTATAATTGGCTGGGCATAATAATTTAAATATGTTGGGATTAATTCCTGACAGTTGCATGTGTTCTTTTGCTGATAGTGTATGTAATGCTTTGGTAGTGTTATTTTAAACAAATACATAGTGTAGTACATGCTGATTCACTACTTTGAGACAGAAACATTTTGCATAAAAGAAACTATTAACTATTGGTAAGTAAGAATAAGGAAAACTCCAATATTCATGCTTTTTAAAAAAAACTATAAACTCCTATAATTTCTGTTTTTTCCTCAGTAGATCTTATTTCTTATCCATTTCCTAATATTACATCTTAGTAACTATCAGCATAATAGTGAAAGCCTTTGAAGAGAAGCCAAGAACAAGGTCCTGTTTTGGATTTACGTACTGCTACTCTGCATTCAGTATATGCACATGCAGCGTTGAAACTAGTACAAGCTAAGTAGGAAACTTATTTGTTGCTTTGCTTTAGAGGAGTAATTTCAAACACAACAGGAGGACAAATACAGCCAGATGGCCATATTCTGGAACAAATTTTTTATAATCATGTACTTAGCTTGTTTCTATCTGCAGTACAAGTGAATTTGAGGTGGGATATTACACTCTGGAAGTGCTTGGATTACTTTAATACATTACACGCAGAAGTATGTATTATTAAAGTCGTAGGAGGTACATCTAGTTCCCTGTAAACAAAACTGGAGACATAAAGAGTCCTTGGTTTAAATCTGACTCAGCAGTTGTCATCTTTGATTAATCACTTCAAATAATTCTTCTCCACACCTGAATAGTAAGGCACATATTATCCTAACTTCTAGACATAACTGATGTGTTAATGTTTAAGCAGTGCTCTTGGAATATTTAAATCCTTTTCCGTTTTAAAATCACCTGTCTGTCTCTCTTCAAATAGCAGCTACATGCTGATTAAAAGTCTATTGATGAATAGACTGAAATCAGAATTTGCAAACAGCTTTTAATCACTTGAAATTTGTACTGGCAAGATTTGAATCACTTTAATCTTAGATAATTCTTTTTCTGGTGAACAAAACGTGTAGTAGTGTCACGGTTTAATCCCAGCCAGCAAAAGCCCCACACAGCTTGTTGCTCACTCCCTCCCCATGGGATGGGGGAGAGAATCAGAAGGGTGAAAGTGAGAAAACACATGGGTTGAGATAAAAGGAATTTAATAGGTAAAGCAAAAGCCTCCCACGCAACCAAAGCAAAACAAGGAATTCATTCACTACTTCCCCTTGGCAGGCAGGTGTTCAGCCATCTCCAGGAGAGCAGGGCTCCGTCATGCGTAATGGTTACTCGGGAAGACGAACGCCGTCACTCTGACTGTCCGCTCTTCGTTCTTACCCCAGCTTTGTATGCCGAGCATGATATCATATGGGATGGGGTATCCTTTGGTCTGCTGGGGTCAGCTGTCCCAGCTCTGTCCCCTCCCAACCTCTTGTGCACCCCCAGCCTGGTGCTGGTGGGGTGCTGTGAGGAGCAGAAAAGGCCTTGACTCTGTGTGAGCACTGTTCAGCAGTAACTGAAACACCCCTGTGTTATCAACACTGTTTTCAGCACAAATCCAAAACATAGCCCCTACTAGCTGCTAGGAAGAAAATTAACTTTATCCCAGCCAAAATCAGCACAAGTGGTTTCCAAAATAATAAGAAACATAAAATCTTCTACTTAAAATTAGTAGAAAATAAGGCATAAAGAAAGCGTACGTTGGGTTTTGATTTAAAAAAATTAAATTATGTTTTGGGAATTGAATAGAAAAGACTATAAAAGCACTAAGTGGATAGGTAAAGTAATTATTTTGTTATCTTTACAGTGGTATAAAAAGAGGCATCTGTAGTAAACTTTAACCAATATAATAAAACAGTTGCATTTTATTTACTATGCAAAATGAAGATGTGTGTAAGCATGCATTTTTATCTATGATTTTGAAGGTAGAATATTAGTAGGACAATACTGATGAGTATGCAGAGTGTGAAAGCTGTAGGAAGAATAATCTCTGTCACCATTTCCATGCGAGTAATCAGGGAATCTAGAATTTGAGAAATTAGTAAGAAATTTAATCTTCTGGAGTATATTAATGGTTAACTTAGAGTTAACAGAGATTAAGGATTTTCTTGAACATTTATGGCTAAAATTATTTTGTTAAATGTTGACAAGGGTATAATTAGCAAAGAAAACAAAAAATTTCCTAAGCCTGCAAAAGCTGGAGCAAATCTGTGACAATTTTCCCTCTTGTTTTCTTTTTAAGGTAAATTTTTGGAGATAAGTCATTGCTCAAAGGGCTGCAAAAATTTTGCTTACTCTGAATTAACTCGAGTGCATTAGCATTACTCTACTGTTCCTTTGATTTTTATTCATGTGTCCTCCCTCCTCCCCCACCAAAGGAAAGATAGAAAAGAAAATTGTCAAAGAGAAATCCTTGGGAAGCACTTTAGCCTTTTTATGATTGTTTTGCAGCTCTTTGAAAAATTAAATGGGTTTTATTTTGTAGAATTTTGCTTCACAGATAAGCCTCGGAGCGTTCCATAAACATATCTAATTCACGAAAGACGTATCACTCAGCAGCTGAGGCTAAGTAGGATAAACCTAAGATGACTGCTTTGATGTCTTCTACCATGTGGAATTTTTATCATCCTTCTTATGAGACTTTATAATACTTATTTAATCTTTCTTAAACGTTGCAGAAATCCACTGTGGTAGACTATTCTCCTAGTTCAGGAATTATGAAAGGTCCTGAATTACATTGGGAAGGTCTTAAGTGTGATGGATTAGCCTGGAACTGTGTAAATTGCAGGCAGAGGCTGCTGCTGTATTTACATATTCCTGAGCAGCTGCTGTGAGTTGTGCTGTTGTTACCAGGAGTATGAAAGAGCAGAAACCTGGGTTAACACTACCTTAGGCTAGCACTTAGCACATTTTTTTAATAGTTTAATTTTATGTAGAAGTCAAACATTTTAGAGACTTTCTGTCTGCTTGCTGGTCTTGATTTTTCTGGTTTTGTTTTATGTTTCAAAGAGCATTTAGCACTTCTATTATTTTAAGGCTAACGCTGTCATCCCTGGCTTTAATTTTAAATAGTGTCTCTTACAATTTGTGTATTCCATTAACATCCAAAGTTAATCCATTTAGCTGCAGTGATTTTAGCTGGATGGAGTAAACAGTTTTTCTTTAGAGACTTGTATTTGGAACCTGTTGTGCTTTTAGGAAGAAAATTCCTTTTAAGACCCGCTAATAATATTATTCAGAGAGAAATTTAAAATCTGGAAGGTACATAATATGATTTTATAAAACAGAGCAGAAAACACATAATTACCTGTAGCAAGGAGTTGGTGTGTGGTAGAGCAAATGTCCATGGCCTTCTGATGCCAGTTTGCCACCTGGTAAGTTTGACATGCAGCAGATGTATTAGACTGTAACAGTCTGTCTCATTCACAGTAGCTTTTCCTCTGTCCCTGAACATTCATCCATTACAACTGACTTGAAACTATTTTATTCTGTCAACACATTATTTTCTGAAAGTTTTTTTTATATCTTTGTGGTTTTTATTGCAATATATTTCTTATAGTTAAATGTTTAATAAAATTTTAAAAGGTACAGAATATATTCCATATTGTTTTCCAGTTAAGTAGATGTATGTGTAATTTTGTCTGTCAAGAAATCTTGTCAGGGCACTGGTAAGTTTTGATTCAGAATTTTTGATCACATCAGTAAGTCCAATTAGAGTTTGTGAAATGCTTTAGAAATGGTAATTGAGGGTGTTTCCACTTTCTCTGTCACTGGAGGCCTGTGTATTTAACATCCCGAATTTACAGAACCTAAGTGTTAAATTTCATGTACCATATTCATGCAAATTGTTTAATGAAATTCAATGTGATATTTGCCCATATAGTGAAGAAAAAGAAAAAAAAAATAGCAATTAATATCACCTCTCTTGGATTTGGGAATCCGTTCGCACTGATAATCTTTTTATAATAGTCAACAGATGCCTTTGGGTATCGTGGTTTGTTCTTGTTTTTAAAATCAATGTGATAAAATCCAAATCTTTCCGAGAAGCCTTTGTTCCATTCAAATTTATCCAGGAGTGACCAGGCAGTATAGCCTTTGATGTTAACACCATCGTTTAGAGCTGTAAGCAGAATACAAATCATTTTGTTAGACCTGTTGCCTGTGTTTGTTGCCCTTAACATATGGTTCTGGAGGTTTGCTTTATACCAGAAGGAGACAGGGAGGGGGGAGGAGGACAGAAAAGTGGCAAAGAATAAAGTAATTGAGATTCTTTGAAAATGTTATCTTTAGCTTAGAGGTACTAGAGCTCTATAAGAATGGTAATTAGGTGCAATTTCTCCTTTCTAAAAGTGGAAACTGATGATCTATTACAGTATTAAATCTCCTGTGGGTTATTGTATTTATTAGCATCAGTACATTTGGCTAGGCTGTCATTTCTGTGAAAGAATTTATTAGTCTGGTGTGCTATCCATTTTGACTGTGAATATTTGTTTCTCTATGATGTAAATTACAGGAGTAAAAAATAATCAGAAGGTGAAACCGCTCAGAAAGCTCATGCACTAAAAATATGTTTTTAAAGTTACCTTTCAGTATTTCATTAATATATCCTTTCAGATACTCTATCCGCCCTTCATCACACAGCTGAGTACACTGTACCTTTTCAGAAACTCCATTCTCTGTCACATAAATGATAGGGTTCCCATACTGTGTCTGCAAACAAAGATAGGTTTAGACTGGTTCATATAAACAAGATCACCTTATTTTGACAGAACATGAGATTCTTAGTAAATGCATTAAAAGCATTTAATAAGAAAAATGTGTAACTAGGAATTTAAATTAACTACAGGGCTTTTTAAATTAATGAATGTTATAGTTTTCTGAGCTGAAGTTAAAGTAGTTTTTCTGGCAAATAAACTTCCCAGTATGACAAGACAAATATATAGGTGAAACTGTTGAAAATCTAAAATAATCACCTTAATGAAGTTGAGTAATCTTCTGAATCCCCAAGGCACAGAATATAGCCATTTAGGTCCTGGAGCTGGCCATTTAGGGTCCACCAGTTCAGCCAACTCGCGGTCAGTGTGGTAACTGGACACTTGTAGAACAGGAAAGCTCTTCTGTATGACATAACGAGTGGTAAAGTGACCTATTCCCAGGAAATCCGACGTGCCTTTAATATACATTTTCTCTTGCACTGAGAAGGTTGGTAATCTTGATGTCCCCAGGCCCTGCTGGGCAGTCTTCCTACCTATCAAAATAATTGTAAGAAATGTCCTTCTGAGGAGCACAGAAATTTAGTTTCTTTACCTCACCAACAATAAATACGTTTTTTCTGAATTTGATGTTAGTGTGGAGGACAGTTTAGTTTGATTGCTTTTTAATAATGAAATAATTTTTCATACTTTTGGTTTGGAGAAGCAAGTTGGGTGCAATACATGGAGAAAACAGGCAATTAAAGTGGTTCTTTTTCTACAGAGCATGATAAAAGTCAACAGAGTGCTTGGAAACGTAATGACAAGAGCAGAAGTGCTTTGCTGTTGGGTGCATTGCCTATCTGCCTATCTTCTTCATTCGGTGAAAAAAAGATAGTGGAACCCTGTAGAAATGCAAATTTCAGTGCTGAAAAACTGCTGGTTCTCTGTCCTCAGGGGGAAAATCCAGAAAAATATTTACCAGCTCCATCTTGGTTAGGCCACTAAAAAAGGACTATGACTGAGAAGTGAGAGAGTTTCTTCCTTTCCATTTTGAAGTACTCAGATGTGCAAGTGCTGAGCTCAACACCAGCTCAATTTTTTACTTCTAGTTTGTCCCCCAAACTGCTCGGGAGCTGTGTCTAGCCCACAGACTGTTGCTTAGCCTTGCCTCACCTGTGTCCTCACACTTGTCTAAAATACACGTTGGTTGGGGTTATTCCGTTGTTATGTGGTGTGAGTGTGTAATTTATTCATGTTACAGTTGGTTACTGGGACTTACCTACATAATTCTTCATAACTTCTGGATAGTCTCCTCTGTAAATGGGATTTGCAAACCATCCCAGATGGAACTGTATGTATCTTTCAGCAGCATCTCTGTCTGTTTGGCTATGTGGATCAACAGGTTCACCCCAGCCACTAGTTAAGGAAATTCCAACCATACCTTAAAACAAAGTGACAAGTCTGCAGTTTGCACATAATCTTTAATCCCTAAATGTAAATAGAAGCGTAATTACAGAATGAATCCTTAGTACCTTGCTGCTCGCTACGCCATGTGTTATTGTAAGAGTGCCATACCGTCGCGTGAGTCTGTAAGTTAAAAAAAAAAATCAGGTTCATATCAACAGGTCAGGATTTTACTCGTTTCTAGAGTAACCTGGGTATTTTCTTACTCAACCAGTTTGAAACATATTGTAAAAGAAACTTACAAGGAAAAATTTAAGTTGTTGCAACAGTGTCACATCGAGCAGCTAGCATTTCATGCTACAAGTGAATATATATATGCATTGGTGATTTAAAGTCAGGTGATAATTTTGATGTGCTAGTTGGAGATGACACAATTGCAAAACTATATTTCTGTTTAAAGAGCAGAATCAAAAAACTTTGCTAAAAATTCTTAATTTACACATCATTTAAAGCCCGATTTCAGTTTTACTTTAATTATATGGTGCGCTGCCTTGTATGCTCCATGTCCACCGAGCTTCAGTCCTGGTGCATGTTCTCCTGTTTCATAACCCATCTCAGCAACTGCCTGCAAATACATAGAATTAGTTCTTCTTTGAACAGCAGAACTCGTGAATTTGGTGCTGTCCTGTGGACCTCAGTCCTGGGCTCTTCTGTGCAGTCTCTCTCAATCTGTATCCTCTCCAGTCCCCTTTTTTCTTCTCTGCCCCTTGGCTCCCATCTACTACCCTGCTGCTTGGTTGATAGTATGCTGTGGCTTGTTGGAAACAATGTGTTCGTCACTAGCGTTTCAGAACTTCACTGGAATTTCATGTCTTAAAGCTCTGCCCTTGTGCAGAATCTGGCCACCGAGATTTTTGGGCTCAAGGATTAATGGCGTTAGTCTCTCCCTCTTCCTCTCCAATTTTTAACCTACTTTCCTGTAGTGTCACTTTCACAGAATTTTGGGAACAGAAGTGTAATGGGAGTGGTTGGAAGGAAAATATTGATGACTTACCCAAGGATTACTAAAAGTAATCCAGTGTTTCACACGATCGCCAAACTTCTCAAAACACAGATTTGCATAATCATTAAAGTAATTTATCATGCTTATATTTTGCCAGCCTCCATACTTTTCCTGGAGAACCTTTGTAAATAAGAATTTCAAGAGTCAGTAATGTTACTTAAAGTTCAGCTGCCTGTTAACAAAGACTTTTATGTATATTTCAGTAGCTCAGGAGGAGATTTTTCAAAACTTTGATGTATACAAACTACAGTGTATCTAAAATGCAAACGAATAGAAAATAATTATAAGCACACTTAAAAGCATGCAGGCATCTTTAAACATTTTTGTAAAGTACACATCGTCCTTAAATTTAGAAATCAGTTTCCTATCAGAAGTGTTTCAGTTAGACATTGCAGTAATTTAAATACTGTCTGACCTGTGGCAGATCCCAGTGGTACAGGCTCACAATCGGGGTGATATTGTTTTCCAGAAGACTGTTGATCGTGTCATTGTAGAACTGTATTCCCTTCTCATTCAGTTGCTCTGCTGATGAAGTGCACAGACAATAAATTACCTGGACTGTTTTTCAAATAACAGGAAGAATAAAAATCTGAAAATTTTAACCAAGGAATTTTAGATTACAGTGATGGGTGTACTGTAATGGATGTGTAATGGTTAAACTCTGTTCTGCAGAAGAAGAAACAGAAATCTGTTTAACAGTAATGTTAAACAACTGTGGTATGCTCAGGAGTAAAATTACTTGCCTACTAATGCTGGTAAGAATGTGGTGAAATTGTTACACTTACTTTTAATGCCAGTGGGCATAATCCGAGGCCATGAGATAGAGAATAGATAGTGATTAACTTTCAGCTCCTTCAGTAGCTGAATGTCATCCTGTGGAAAAAAAAAAATCCAATTAACATATCTCAAGTCTGAGCAGAATAACTCTTCAGTTATTAATCTGTCTTAAATAGTACTGAATGCAAAAATCTATAGAAGAGTTGCACAAAGGAGGATTCATCAGTTATTTTCTGCATTTGCTTTGAGATGATGGCTCTTTCTACTTGTATGCTTCCTTTGTCACCATTTTTTTTCTTGACTCTGCAAGGGAGTCTTGTAATGTGTTAACAACCATGGCAACTGAATGGATTCACCATCAAACAGAGGATGGAAAAATGAATTATTCTGCAACATAATTATAATTCTGTCAGCATTTGTGATGTGCATGTTTTAAAGGATAATATAAGCCTGTAAATCTTGATGTCAAACATTTCAGCCTGGGCACAAAACCATGATTACACTGGCTTTCATTTACTGTCTCATATGGAATTAGCACAAAAAATCAATTCAGTATAAATACATATTATTTTTCAAAGAAATTGTACATCTTCAATATTAAATGAGAGACTGATGGTATATGAGCCAATGCAAAGAGAATGCTGATGATGAAATCAGAGAAAGAGTACTTTTATATAAAGAAGAGCATGTAACTGAACACATGCAAGCAGGTTTTAGAAAGTATCTCAAAATCCAAGCCCACAGTAGCTGAGTGAATGTTGAAATACTATCATTTGTGCCTGAATCCTCTCTGTGGATATTTATTAAGCTGTTCTTTCAAGCTTTTACTTGTTTGAGAGAGATCAAATGAAATCACTCCTGCATTTTCCCATTTTAGGATAGTAAGGCATAATTAGTTTCTTTCCTCTTAGTTCTTGCTGAGACCTCTGGTTCTTTGGATTTCATATATGTGGAAAAACCTCAGTGGAATGTATCAAAGTAATTGGAATTACAGTTATGTAATATTGGCTTGTCACAGTCCTTTGGATTCTTCTTGCTGTGTATCTGTCTTTCCTCCAATTCTAAAATTGTTTTTGATAGTTTTAAGCTTGGAAACACACTGCTAATAGAGCTGCATTGATTATTTATTTGTTATCCATTCAAAAAAGTGGAAACATTCAGACTGAATTTTAAAGCATCTGATTGTTTGATTATTCTTATATACATATAAAACCTTCACAGCTGCTCAGAGCTGTTTCCAGAGGGATAGTTCCTCTTTAACAATACCTTGACTTTGTAGTAGCCATCACATGCTGAATCTCCTGTTTCATTTCTAAACACTTTCCCTTTATTGTGAGTGAAAGCATCCCAGATACTTGGTCCTTTCCCATCCTTGTCCCAGGCTCCTTCAGTCTGATATGCAGAACTTCCAACACCCCATAAAAAACCTAAAAGTAAAAAGAAGTGAGTTATGATGTAAACATTTTCCTGCAAAACTGCTCTTGTACTAACTTTTCAAATGATAAAGTGATACACCCTCACAGCTGCATGTGTGATTGAACAAGAGGCCAATGTTTTCTACGTGAAGCTTTATCGGTGCATAAAGAGGGACTGCTGGAAAATGTGGTATAGACTGAAGGTATCCTTTTCTGGTGCACTGAAAAAGGAATCTAATTATTTCTTATATTAGACCTTGTTACTATTATTTTACAGTGATGAGGTAGGGCATTGATAGAGTGGCAGAAATGTCTTACTGTAAGAAAAAAATAGGTTCCCAGGTCACTTCTGCCTGCTAGACTTCGAGTTTTTTAGTGATTACAAGTTTAGCTGTTGTTATGTAAAATATATGGAAAGATTCCAGATTATTTTCCTAGTATTGAACAAAAGGACATGATTAATCTATTTGAGCCACTTCAAACTTGAGCATGACAATAAACCAGCGCCTACATCTTTTTAGTTTTGATTTTGGTTGAATGAAATGTGTGCGTATGTATAAATATATGTTGAAGAAAGGACAAGGTTTCATAATGCAGTACTGAAGAGTGAATTAGATAATACTAAACAGCTTGAAACAAAACCAGCACAATCATTTCACTCACGTTCATTTCTTAAGTTAGCTGCTAAGAAAGGATATTTTAAGTTCATAATTCTTCATTAGTTATAGATAATTTATGAAAAAGGATAAGAGTTCTCAGGTGAGATTTGTTATAGTGTGCATCTTAATGACAGACAGGAAAGGGAGATCTGAATGTGAAATATGAATCTGTTAGCATTGACTCGGAATTTACTGTTTTAGGTGACTACATGAAGTGCAGCCTTATGTGAACCCTTATATTGCCAGAGTTAGGTGCAGGATATGATATTAACTATGCATTCTGCAAGAGCCTGATTTTTTGTTTTGGCCATTTCCCTGGAAGGACAAGGAAAACCTTTTGGTAGTTTTCTGGTGCAAACAGACAAGTAGATCTAGGGCATTATAAACCCCACAATCAACTGTAGTTCAAACGTACCAGCTGGGAAAGTGCCATAATAGAAGGAGCCTGGATTATTCTTTGTCCACTGGAAATCCTCAGCTGTGTTCAGCTGCATTACCGGCACAAGCATATACCATATTCTCAAAACGTATGTCTTCATTGCTGTTAATTTCATCTCTTCAAGTTCCCACCTGATAAAACAGAAAAGCATTGTGAGGTATCACTGCTCTACAAAGTAGGCTTAGGGTGATCAAAAGGGAAAAGCTGAATGGGTGAGATTTTCCTTGAGGGCTAAAAGCAGTGCTTGGGCTAAGTGGAAGATGCAGTTAAGCTTCTGGCAGGGTGATGAAAATGGAAGAATTAAGTGCAAAATTGTAACTATTAGGAGTGCTCCCTGCATGATTTCCATAATGTTACTCATCTTCACTATGTTTTAAAAGTCTTTTTGTTAACTAAGAGCCTGCAAACAGTGATTGTGAGTGGGAGCAAGAAATAAAAGTGGTTATGCTGCTAGCATCTTGCCATCCTAAACATGTAATGGAAACAAACCTTCTGGAAGTTGAAAAGCAAAATTAGTACTTACTAGTGTTGCAGTTTTAATAATTGCAGCTTTTATCTTGATGTTGTCCCTTTTATCCAGTTCCAGCGTCAATTTTAAATGCTTCTATGTTTGCACTATATCTTTAACTGCTAAATCAGGTTAAACTATTGGTGGGGTGACCAGTTTTAACCATTTTAAATAAAGTTTCAGTAGGGCTTTGTAGAACAGCACTATTTTCCCTGAATTTATACAGTTCCCAAAGGATTTGTTCTACATTCCTGAGGCTCTGTTGATGAAATTGAAGATGGGGTTAGAAAGTGAGGAAAAGTAGAACAAATATCTTATTAAAAATAATAATATTTTGCATTGGAGCATGGTCTAAAAGGTAAATACATCTAGAGCTTTGAAAAGCAAACTGGTATTACAGGATGGGACACGTACACCAAGCCAATCATTGGGCTGCTTATGTGAGACAGCGTTTAACAGCCTTGGGGGTCCCAAGAGCAGGTAAATGAAGGTCTGGAAATACCATGTCCCTGCTTGCCTGCAGGAAACCAGCCTCACTGCGGTCTCTCTGCAACATCCCACAAGGCAACTGCAAGAAGGGAACAGCCTGTGGGATGCCTCTGCTGTTTGCAGATTGGTTCCTGACCAAAAGGAAAAATAGGTTTGGCTAAAACCGAGAGGCGAAGGAACCACTTTTCAAACATGTAATAAATGTATGAGCTCAGAGACCTCTCGTTTTCTGCGCTTATTACAGAGCATTCCGTTATGCCTAATTAATGCAGGAACTGCACGGCTGGTTTGGGAAAATCTCCCTCAACATCAAAGGCCTTTAGCCTCCGATTAAAAGAATCTTCACTTCTGTATTTCTAATGTGAACATTTAGATTGCAACGGGGGAAAAAAAAAAGCAGACTGCAACCATTTGAAAAATCACAGGGACTAAATATTTTTATTTTGAACAGACAAGGTTGCAAATACACATGATTTTAATTTAGACATTGACAGTCAAATCTAGCTCTTCAGCCTAGTCAATAAGTTAGTTTAAATTTACTGTTGCCCTTCATATTCTTGTTAGTAATGACTGACAGTCACGTGAAAAGGAGCAAGGGGATCAGAAAATGTGTTCTGCGAGGTAGATCGCTGGTTTCTGTAAGGGAGGTATTAATCCAATGGGAATAGGACTGTATGCTTTTGCAGGGGTGCTGATATTTCTGTTCCAGAGTTAGAGCATAGCTTTAATCACATTTTAGGGTGTTTATTATGATTTTAGATATTTGTAGCTATCTGATTCATATTTTGGATAACTCTAACTGTGTTAGAAATGATTTCAGTACTTCAAGAATTGCTTAAGCACAAGAAACACATTTTTAAACAAACATGGTTTTTCTTCTGTATTGAAGAAAATCATCTTACACAGAGTTCATTGTGCAATATTCTATCAATTTTCTTTTCAAATGAATAAATGTTTTTTGGAACTCTTCATTGCTCTGTTTTTCTGGCACATACCTTTACAAATACAGCAGAAGAAACAGCTGTTCAAATAAGTGCAAAAAAGTTCATCAAGTTTAGACTGCAAGGCTGGTTCTGTAAAACACCCTTTTGACTCTCTTGTTCTCTAGCAGCTATAGTACCTTCTACCCTGATTATAGATTGCATTATTATTATTTCCCCCCGTTTCTGGCTTACCTGGTGTTCTTTGCAATGGATGTGTCCCAGCTGGGAGATTCCTCTGAACTGCCAGAAATTTACTAGGGCATTCAGAATAAATTTACTTTCACAGAATAATTGTGCAGAATTAATCCAACTGTCACAAAAACTTGGGAGAAGCATCTAGTTGAAAACAGCATTTTGCTTGCTTACAGCCAGAACAAAAAAGAACAATCCTTTTGTATTTGCAGTCAATGCCAGAGGAAAAGGTTTAGCTTAACCATACGAATCTTTTAGCAACGAGGTATTTTCCTTTGTAAGCAAAATTAGCTTTGCGAGTGATCAATGCATTTGTACATAATTGCACTTGCTCTTGAATAGGGTATTTGTAGACATTTTTCTCTTGGTGCAGATGTCTGTCCCCTAGGTGGTATTTGGCAGGGAGATCTCACCGATTTTGTGAGGCCAAGGGTTTTGGTTTTATATGACATAATTTTGAATCAGATATTCAGGGTGCAGCCTGGAAAAATAATATGCTTTTTCTTTTCTCTTATTTCTAGAGGAATTTCTTATGGTGATGTCTTTGTGGAAAAAACATCTCTCCCAGTCTCGGAGGTCAGCTGTTCAGCTTGAGCTGTAGCTGTTCATTCTTTTAGTTCTGTGAGTTATCGTGCTCTCCCTGCTCATAGACAGTATGCACTGAAAAGCCTGTGAAATGAGCAAACCCATTGCTAGGGCTCGCAGGGCTGAAAACCTGTGATTTCAGACATTGCTGCTCACCTGACTTTCAGGAATGAAAAGCCTTTCTCTCCTGAGAGAGAAGGGGATGAGCCTTAGAGCAGCAGTGAAGACAACTGCTGCTGCGAGGGAAAGCCCGAGGCAGGACAGAGCCGCTGCAGAGGGAGGCTCTGGACAGCGCTGATACAGAACGATGTGTGAATCCACCCTAAGGAGAGGGGGGTCTGTAAGGGAACAGTCTTGTAGGGCACACGGGGAAAGCACCAGCTCTGTTGGCTCTGGGCAGTTGGGTGGTTTTCTCCCCACTGCAGTGCACCCATGTAGCTGCCTGACACTTGGGCTTTCTGTGGGTGGGTGACTCCTGATCGTGGAACCTGCTCTCCTCTGCCTGTAAAGCTATACAGTTTGTAAACAAATTCCCATGTATTCATTTAGCTGTGTGGTTTTGTATTTTTTTTTTTTTTTTTCCCCCTGTTAAGCAGTACCGCTGCCCTCTCGTGGGCAATTTCAGGAAAGAGCATTAACATGAAGTATGTTCCCTGGTAGCATAAAATAAGTAACAACATTGTAGTTCGTATACTGCCTCTGATCTCAGAAGTGAAGTGCATTGAAGCTATAGAGGGAATATTGTTAGGAGCTCCTTGTGCATCCATGCAAGTCTCTTGGCACACTTGCTTGACTTCCTGCTCACCAGGATGGGCCATTTTCAAGCATGGAGGAGGTGATCCTTGAAAATCAACCAGCTCATGTACTTTGTGATTTATGGTGCACGTAAAGGGCAGTATTGTACACAGGTCAGCCTACTGCAGATGAGTTTGTTGCTTAAGGCACAGTTTTAAGTGCTTGCTATACATTTGGTGTGCTTTATCTCCTGCAGAACTGGCTAGGGTGGCGTGCAAGAGTCGCTGCAGTGCTAGAGTTGTTGTGATGATTAAGGGTTTGCATTAGTCATTCCTTGTTAAATCACAATTGCACCTAAAATCCACACCAAAACCAAAGATTTTAGCATGCCAGGAGAGAGACTATGACTACTGAGAGAACTGCCAGTGGAAGCAAAGACAAAGGCAGATCACCCCTCTTTACAGATGAGAAACTGAGTCCCAGGGAAATTGGACAGAAACCACACAGGGAGTTTGTATCAGGCTAGGAACTGAACTCGGATCTCTTGGCTCCCTGCCCAGTGCCATACACACAAGCGTCTGCTGCTCCAGGGACTAGCTCACGCATCACTAAAGTAATGTGGTGAATTGTCACTGACTTCATTGGTCAGAAAGACCAAGCCCTTGGTGTGCATGAAGACATAGTTCTTTCAAACTACATTGAACATGGGCTGCTAGAAACATGATACTGTTCCACTCTGTAAGTCATGCTTACATGGGTTTTCTTCTCTTAACAGAATCTTTTTCTGTGGTGTTTTTTCCCAGTTTCCTGCATAAAAGCCCAACTTGACCAAAAACAAAAAAAAAAAAAAAAAAAAAGTCATGAGATATTTACATTGCTACAGCTTGGTAATTTTTTCCTCTTGTTTCATCTTGGAAAAGTTTTACTAGCAGCAGTTTTAAAAATGTGCCAGAAACACATCAAGGCTATAAAATCTTTTATTTTGTTTTACTGGTAAAAAGAATGTACCCAGTGGAGTCCATCCAAAATTGCCCAACGACTGCAGTAAAATAACCTGGAAAGTAGGTTATGCAACTGGCTTACTACAGTGGGTTGTGAAGTCAGGGGAAAGTCACAACTGACTCTTGTTTTAAGCTTTATCTGCTATTCACTTGTCTACAGCCTGGAGTGGATCTTCATCCATAAATGATGTAGTTATTTATCTGTTGTCTATAAAACTATGAGACCATATCACAAAAACTTTGGCACAACTCCACTATCTTAAATGAATTGATACTCCCGCTTTATTTTCTATCTGTGCTGCACTTTGTGTTGCAAAATCTCCTGTCTGCAGATAGACAATCAGAGATGGAGTCACCCCTAACAGCAGATACCATAAAACTGGTATTTATTTGATTTTTGCTTTTAGCCCTTATGTTTTGCCTATGCTGATGAAAAAGTAGAAGCTGTCTTTCCTAATTCCCTGGCAGCTGTTCAGACAACTAGATTGAATCATCCTCATATAATTATAACCTATCTCCCCAGCTTCCTGAGTCTTCATTCTTCCGAGTTGCACTCCCTTTCCAACCTTGAATAGGC